ATATAAACATTAGGTGAAAATTTCATGTATCTATGGTCATTTGTTTTAAAGTTACATCAAAAACCAAAATCGATTTTGTCGAAAAATGGGTGTGCATAAAATTTCCCGTTTTTCCCTTAATTTTTAGTTTGTTTTTCTCAATTATTTAGAAAAGTATTAAGAATTTTTTACTTTTGACCCCCCTCCCCCTAAGTACCAACTAGATTCACTTTCTGATCGAACGAGGTACTGAAGTCAAAAATCGAAGCATTTTTACTGCCCCAAAAAGGTGATGACAGAAAAAAAAAAAACACATACATCATGGTAAAACCAATACAATGAAATATGAGTTGAATTGACAAAATTCTTGTTAACATTGGGCCAACAAGAATTATTTGTCAAACGAACAACTATATTGTTGAAACTATTAAAGTTCATGAATTAGTTATATTAACAAAAATATTGTTACTCCAATAACTTTTTACTGTTGAATTTGAACTACGATTTTACTTACTCATGGAGTCATGAGTAATTTCCGGTATTTGTTGGACATTTATAGGGCAATGGAAGCTCTATGAAAAGAGATTGTAATAGATAACCTCACCAAATATCCCCACCTATCAATTTTGTGAATAATAAAAGTATATATGTGTAATGTGTATATGGTAATTTTTTTTCATTGAGAAAAAAGTCTCCATCAGCTAGGTCATTAGCCTGCGATTGTATTTACATAACATAATTATGGGGTTAATATTTTTATAGAATTTTATATTTTCATTTATGTTAGTTTTATATATTAATTATATTGTAAATATTTAATGTAACAAAAAAGGAGCAAAATAAAAGCATACGTGATAAAGTGATACCATAAACCTTACCTATGTTATAATTTATTTCAGGGATGTTTCTGACACATCAAAAAGTTTCCAGTCTATCAAAAAATATCAAAATGTGATGTATAGTTCCTCGTAAATTTTTAGTAAAATTTATAAAAAAGCTGAACGCAAATTCACAATAAATTTTTATAAGCTTGATGGAATCTTGACAAAATTTTCGAAAATTTGCAAATCATTTTGAGCTAAAAATGCATACAAGTGTCTTTTTATATATCTTAGATTGGATAGTTTAGTATAAAATTCCCTACATTAATCGTATTAAAAAAATTTTTACCAGAAAATCAAATAACTTTTTACGGGAGTTTGAAGTTGGACATTCATCCGTAAATTACCAAATTCTCACACACAGACGTGCGCACGGGTGCAGCGAATGCTGCTTTCGCTGCATCTGACAATTTATTTTGGATAGTGGACTGGTAAAAAAATATATGGAATGATATTATATAGAACGAATGATTTTAAACATATTATTGAGTTTATAATTTTAAAATATAAGTTTTAATATGATATATGTTCAGTGTTAATAATATATAATAATATTATTTTATCAATACAAGTCTAAAAATAGATGGGTAATATTGGAGAAATTCGACGTACACTAGATTACAGACACAGGCACAACAACAGTCAACAATGACAATAGCGCACCAGACACAAAATCCTGCGCACGCATAATATGTTCTCACATGATTTTATTGTTATTCAAAAACTACTGACTAATTTGCGTAGTGAATTCATATCACTGCAGTAATAATGTTGACGGGTGAGCTTAGATTTAAAATTGTGACAATTTACATAAATATATTAAATGCTACGAGTATGAGTAATGTGTATATTATATATGTGTTTTAAATTATTTTCTATTTTCCTATAAAATTAAGTATGAATGTTTAAGCCCCCCTCCAAAAACAAATCCTGGGTACTGCATTGCAGATATGTTGGGACATAACAATACGTATGTTATATATTATTCATATTATTACATTTTACTATATACACAATGATATATAATACCAATATTACTTGCAAAATAGAAGGCAAATGGTTAGAATAAATGGTATTACCGGAGATAAAATGTATATAAACTGCGGTGTTCCTCAAGGTAGTGTTTTGGGCCCAATTCTATTTATCCTATATATTAACAGTATGTGTAGTCTAGATATTGAGGGACTTATCATCACATATGCCGATGACACGTGTCTCCTCTTCTCAGGAGACTCCTGGAATGAGGTGCGTACAAAAGCAACAAAAGAATTTAAAAAAGTAGTAGAGTTCATAAATTATAGAAAGCTATCAATAAATTATAATAAAACAATGTTTGTGAATTTCACAAAAAATAACAATGAAGAACATTTCGATAATTTAAAGATACACTTTTGTGACAGCCATAATTTGTGCAATGATAAGCTTTGTAAAACCATATATAGAGTCTCAAGTATACGTTATTTTGGTTTAACAATTGATAAACACATGAGGTGGAATCTGCATATAAATAATTTATTAATGCGTCTTCGTATTTTGAGTCATAGTTTTTATAAATTACGCGAGATTTTACCAATGCGTGTAATTCGTACAATATATTTAGCCCTATACCAAGCAATAATACAATATGGACTATTAATTTGGGGAGGTCTCTCAGCTAATGCACTGAAACCATTGTTAATACATCAAAGACAAATAGTTCGTATATGTTTACATGAATCTAGGAAAAAAACAACACAGAAAAAAACGACACGGAAAAAATCATCAAGTAAAAAACGTCACGTTAAAAATCGACACGGGTAAAAAACGTCATGGAAAAAAACGCCAAAAATGTTTTTTTTAATCTAAAAATCAGTTATATAAAAAAAAATATATCAATATCGTATAGTATACCTATATTATGCTATACCATTTAGTCAAAAATGTTTGTTGTCTAAAAATCACAATTAATGTTTTTAAAATAAATAATAAAATAATTACACAATATTGTTAAAAATAATTTGTTGAAAAATGTAAAATAAAAATTATAAAAAAGTTTTGAAAAAAAAACAAGTACCTATAGAATAGCAGTAAAATACAAATTAACAATATCGAATAGTATATGCTATAGCCTTTAAAAAATGTGGGATATCTCTTTCCCCATTTGAATATTCTTTACATATATTTTTTAATTTAATTTTTTAAATGCAACTGACATTTAGGATTGACAGAACATGTATGAAAGTTTCAGTTTATATACGTCATACTCCCATCATTGACCATTGTTATCCAAAGTCATAAATTGTAAACCTTTATTATACCCAATACTCAATAGAKTATAGGATTTTACGTATATTTTTGTATAAATATATATAAATCCTATCTACGACAGTTATTTGGAATGGGTTCGATAAGACACTTGGCCTTTAATTGTTGTTACCTATATAGTTCTTAAAGTTTTGAACCGACGACGCCGCGCCGTGGGATGTGGGAACTAGCTGTTTTCACAATACTTCCACGGCGCAATACTATATATAAGTATAACACGAATACATAACTAATACATAGCTATACTTATGATACTATAGGTACTATATTATTATTTATTATACTATACGATGTTGATATATATTTTTTTTATATAACTATTATACCTTAATAAATATTATATATTTGTTTTTTTTTTCAAAACTATTATTTTATTTGACGTTTTTCACTAAATTATTTATAATAATATTGTGTCATTATTTTATTATTAAACTTAAAAACAATAATTGTGATTTTTAGATTAAAAAAAAACATTTTTGGCGTTTTTTTCCATGACGTTTTTTATCCGTGTCGATTTTTACCGTGACGTTTTTTACCTGACGTTTTTTTCCGTGTCGTTTTTTCCCGTGTCGTTTTTTATCGTTTACCGTTTACATAAATCCACTCTCGAAGATTCAACTTTTACAAATTTCAAATTATTTAATGTATTACCAGTAGATCTACTATTCAAAAAAATTGCTATCTTATGGRTAGTAAATAACTCAAATAACTGGTTAAATCTAAATAAAAGAGAAACAGTAGCTTATAATGCAAAAGTTAGTTATTTAAAAAAAATCATTTGGTCAAAAATTCGTGGACTACCTTGGTCCAACCTACTTTAATTCTATGCCTATAATTACAACAAAAAAACATTGTCTGTAAAATTTTTAATGCCAAAACATTAGTTGTATAAAATGGTTGTTTATGTCTTTAAATTAATAATTATTTATATCTGTAAATGAAAACTCTGTTATCTGTTTTCTTTTTTTCTCTTAAAAACCTAATCTTTAAGAAATAATTTAATGTATTGTATTGTTCATAATAAGTATGTAATCACCTAAAATCAAATTGTAAATTTACATATTATATAGGTATTATATAAAATAGTTAACTCTATACCTTCGACACAAGCTATGCTTATGGAAGGTATATAATTTTTTATTCAATTGTATGTATAATATAATTAAAAAAAAAAAAAAAAAAACAAACAGATTTATGATATATTTGTATTTTTAGCTACCTATCATATTATATTATATTATATATTTTTTTTAATTTTGCAAAATCTCATATGGGGTTATTTTTTCACCGTACCACTTGATGATGGAGGTTGTTAATATGTTTGGGTCTAAATTCCCTAATACCCTTATTTTTACATTTATAATAACATAATATAATTATTAATATAGTTACCAACACTGAGCAAGATGATACAATTTGACGTTTTTCTAGTTTTCTGTCACATAAAATGCCTGTTCCTGAAATAATTAGTTCATAAACAATGTTAATAGTGCAATATTATAATCAGAATTTGATATTTTATCTTAATATATTATAGTTCTATATAATACATTGTACAAATTATAAATTTAAAGTTATATGTACAGATGAGCTTTTGTTTTTAATAAAATATAAATACTTAAGCCCTTTCATAACTACGCTAGGTATAATATATTAAATTATGCTTGGCTTTTTTTCTTCATTTTAAATTTTCATTTAAGTACATTTTTTTTTAATTTCATTTATTATTAGAACAATACTACTATAATTATGCCATACGATAAAAATTATCTTTTAATGTAGATATTCATATTACAATATTACATAGGAACTTCTTATTTCCTTAAACTAAACAAAACATCTTTGTCATAGAGTTCCAAATTCATTTTTACATACAATACAAACACTATACGCACATGCTTAAGTACAATTAAAAACAATAACTTTATAGTAGGTACGCTTTATCTTAATTTACGAATACCTATATTATCATTTATTAAATTATAGATAGTTAATAAAAGTTGTATTTAAATCAATTCTTTTTACATATATATTATGCATTTATGTTTAATGTAGCACGCCGTAACAGAATATTTATATTGTATACGTTTTCAAAATTGACCGAATATTGTTATAGTTTGTTAATAAAAAATCACATATCATTGTTTTCGAAAAATGTACTTATTTTAAAATCATATTATGTTAACATTTAAAAATAAAACACTTCACTGTAGATGAATAAATGTATAACCATTGATTAATTATAATAAATGAATCTAATTACACTATAACTTACACTATTTTCATATTATACCATTTAATATTATAATACAATGTGTCTCCGTTATTTATTAATATTATATTGAGATATTATACGTACCAAAAATTAAACATGAATATGTTATTAACCAAGAATACGGCACCTTCATGGCCAATAATGAAATAATATTGTAGCAAACTTTTGAAGGATCAACAATAAATATATTAATATATTAGATTAAACAAATGAACGTCACTGAACACTGAAAAATATTCTACAGAAAATTAACAAACATGTAGGTAAAATCTGACTGTAACATCATTTTAAAACGATCTCTAGATAATATTGTATACCTACCATATGATATAAAAGATAATAATATCAATACAACTGTACAACATATTATAATGTTGAGTCTTCAAAATAAATTAATGTTGCAGAATACAGGTATTTAGTCAACGTTGATGTTATTATGCACCACCTATACAAGCTGTATTCGTACTATGATCGACCAAAGAACAGACTACGTACTAGTCATATTATTACGTAGATAGGTAATTAAAATGAGTGAGTAAGCAAACGTGTTTTATAATTGATTATACAGGCCCTACTAAATTACCTCTTATCCTATTCGTCCAGCAGTTATTAGTTTTTCAACGTAGATTTACATTATATTTTAATCAAACGAGTATATGTAGAACTGGTTATTCTGCTTAATATATAGGCATCTACACATAAATACATAGATATACATTATAAATTTATAAACAATTTATATGTACGTGAGTAAATTTATGGTAATTTTATGTTGTATAGAGTTTAATAAAGTGTTTATTATATTATTTATATTAGTATCAATAGTATCTATAAACTATATTACTATATTACTGTATAGATTGGTAGATTACATCTGTATAATATTATGAAGTATAACGTATTTCCGTGTATCCCAAAAAACAGGGTACACTTTATACCTCGTAACCCTGCAAATATCTTTCAATTCTGTTTGCCGGACATTAAACTAGACTAATCAACCATAAAATTCCAATGACCTAAGATTTTTTAACTCATGTATTCTCCGCATGCGCAACAAAACTTAATTTTTTTTAAATGGTAACACCTAAATTAAATATAATTTTCAGATTTTTTTCATGACATTTTGATAAATCAACTTATGCCTATGGGCCAATTTATATATATACCCGGGAACGGCGCTAGGATTTGCGGGGCCCCGGGCAAAATAAATAACAGTCACATTACATATTATCCAAACTAATTAATCTCTGAACAGTATCAAATATCATTTAAGAACTGCGGGGCCTTGATTATAATTTTAAAATCGCGGGGCCCTGGGCAACTGCCCCGATTTCTCCCCCCCTCGCGCCATCCCTGAATATACCTAGGTATAATTTAAAAACCTTATTAAATTTGAATATTTATTTTTACTTTTAAATAGTTCGTATTATTTCTTTCTAATGTGATGAACAATTTTTAGTAAGTATAGAAAGAAATAATATGAACGATTAAAAAATAAAAATAAAAATAAATATTGTATAATAATTTAGCTAATTTTGAGTTTACAGTACAAGTTGATTCATCAAAATGTCTACCTAACCTATATGGCTATAGGCTATTGTGTGTATTGTTAATACTTAATATTATATTCTAATTAATTATCCATACCTACATAATATTGCGAATAAAAAATAAGTGGGTATTTGTGTTCGAAAATACTAATGAGCAATCCTCACGTAAATTTGTCAAGATCCAAAAATAATGTAATGAACTTTTACTAGATTAATTATATAGTTTTTAAATCCTTTTGTCTTAAAATATAAACAATATAATTATTAAATAATATGGACATATGGTATATAAATTTATACCTAAATTTAGTTGGTAAAAGAAATCCGTATAAACAAATTTTGTTAACTACTTCAAATACAATAATTAATGATTTTAATAATAAAATAATGTAATGTATTTAGATACATAATGTATACGTCGATACTATACAGGGTAGATTTACTATGCATGTCAATATGTCAACATTATTTTCTTTTAAAAATGAATTTACTAAAATTTATAATGTTACGTATAAACACCATATTTTAAATTATACACGAATTTTTTTTTAAGCCGCTTAAGTAGTAGTCCAGTACAGTGCTGTAATTCTGTGGCCATTTTTTTCAAATTAAAATCAACTTTTCAAAATGTAATCCGTTAAAGTGACGTAAAATAAGAATAAATGAAATCTGGAATTTTTATGCGAAAAAGCAGTTTTTAGTAAATTCATTTTTTTTTTAGCTATAATGAATAACTATAGTTACTTGAAATTTTCACCAAAAGCATTTACTAGACATGAAATAATTTTTAAAACATTTCGTATGTTTTGTGCTATCTATGCATATTTTTAATTTTCGACTTTTTCGATTTATATGTATAATACAACTTTTATTTTTGAATAGTAAAGATTGAAAAATTAATACAAGGTTCCTCATAAATTATTCACTAGGTACCGATTAAAAAATATCAAATTATATAGTGACTGTATAATTTTATAAGCTTCTAATTTAATATTTTATCAAATTTTGGTTTCATATACGTTTACTAAATCTAGCGTGGCAGAMGGTTAACTCCACTCACAATTATTTTTCATTCCTATGTAATATTATTTTATATTTGGTATTAAATTCAAATTTAACATAACTTAACTAATGTGACTTACTCAAGGCCATTCTTTACTTGACGCCTAATATACAACAGCATGCAAAGAAAAATCTACTTGTACAGTTTTTGATTAATTAAGCTTGTTAGTAAGCTTTAGATATTTTTCTCCTTTCCTCAGGTTTTTAATTTTTAGCAAACGGCCATTAATATAATAGGTACTAGCTAGTAGCATTGATTAAATATATTAAATATTAATTATATATATATTGTATATTTAATCAATGCTATAGTCGGGTGAATGAAAAGTGGCCGCTGGCAATATGATAGGAACCTTTTTTTTCGATAAGCCATGGGTTCTCAAAGTGAATCACGTAAAATGCGATTAATAATGATTAATAATTCAAAATGCGCGCGCTTTTTTCCATAATTTTGCGGTACAATGATGAAAATTCACCGCTAGGTGCGTGGGCATCAGCGGCCACTTTTCATTCGCCCCGACTATAGTAGTCACTGGGTACAATAACTTATTGTATCTACATCGGGTTTCAGCGCGCCATAACTTTTTCTTCTAAGACCGTTATCTGCATAAAATGATCATTCTGTGATGATCACCCATGATGATCATTTTGTACGATCAAAGTATTTGGCTCTCGAACGTTGAAAAAATCACAGGTACCAGCAGCTACTCTGAAGTCTAACAATATTTATATGAATCTAAAATTACTAATTAATTATGAATGACGAAAACTGAAAATAAATAATAATCATTAATCATAAACGATTTACAAAATAATATCACAGATTATATAATGTATAAAATAATATATACATAATATACATATATATATTATATATATAATATATATAAAATCCACCTTGCACGGTTAGGTTCTAAGCTTAGACATATAAAACAAAATGTTTAAATGTCTATGGTTCCAAAACCGTGTATACCATAGAAATATTATAGATATACAATATACATTCTATATATTTTCTATAATATACAGCCTGCAGCTGCTGTATTTAGTAAGTTAGTATATGATTATATTATTTGTGAAGTGGTCGATAATCACCGCACAGTTCAACATGACGTCTTCTTCCATGCAAAGTTCCTTATCGTTTTTATCAGCCTTGACATGATAACGAATACAAAATATGTGTAAATTTATAATATGTTGTGTCAGGGCAATGGGTTTTGTTGATTTGTTCTAAATCTGGAATTATTGTTGGCTAGTGTGTTTAAAGGTGTGCGATGGGCTTCAAATTAAAAGCTCTAGTTGTAGTCTCATCGGGACTCGTACTGGGTGTTTGTACGTATGCCGCATACCGAACATGGAAGAAGCGACAGAACAGTGCTGATGACGAAGGTTTTGAAGACGTTTCAAAAGCAAGTACATATTTAAATATAAACCTCAGTCGTTACAATAAAACCGAGATGAATTTTGACTTAACGTTGAACTAGTTTATCGTGTCTGTTTAGTTAGAAGAATCGTTGGAAAAGAAAGTATTGGTGTTGGGTTTAGAAGGATCTGGTAAGTCAACATTAGTCTCACAAATTGTTAAGGAAGTCGGACAAAAAAGTATTGGATCAAATACTTTATACAAACCTACTGAAGGATTTAATGTTTCATCTTTATCTGATGGAGGTTCTCCTACAGTTAATATATGGGAAAGTAAGTAAATAAAATATTTTTTATAATTACTTATTAATGGTTACATTACAAAAAACATTTGCTTCCTCTCCAGCTTTATTTTCTTTTGACACCCATAACTGTTCCACAAAGCCTTCTCTATTGACCATTACTCTCAATCCTTTGCCACTTTCTCCAGGTTGTCGATCCCAATAATTCAGAAAATCTAGTTTGATTCATCTATCCATCTTTTATTTGGCCTACCTAGTGGTCTCTTATCTTCAGGTTTCTAGTTCAATGCACATTTCATTATGCCATTCCATCACCATGTGTGTCCCAGTCAACTCATTAGCCTTCCTTGAAGTTTTAATATGATGTCTTCTTTTCCCAAAAATTCAATTTCCTTATTTGATTTAATCTCGTATTCMCTTGTCTGATCATTTTTTCTTAAGTTCAAATGTTTGTTGAAAATTTTTCTTTTTAAAACTTCCAGCTTTCTTTCATCTTCTTTTGAAATTGATCACTTTTCACATGTGTTTAAGATTACCGGACTTACCAACACTTAGTGTTATCATAATTTTAATTTAATTGATAATAACTTAGACCTGAATGTTTTCTGTGGTTTAAAATAGCATCTGTTTACTTATTTTCTCGTGGTAATTTTTGTACCTATTTATGTCAACTCCTAGATACTTAAAGCTATCTAGTTTTTTAAAACAATAATTTTCTTACTTTAGCCTTATATTTTTATCTAATTCGTTACCTCTCACAACTACCATATATTTATCATTTATAAGAAACAAAAAACAGTAAATATGTATAATAAACAACAAATGGTTATTGTGTGTTGCCAAGGAAGGGATTTTGAAATACAAAAGAGAATTAGGGAAGACAATTTCACCTAAGAGCAAATAAAAATAAAAATAAGAGTTAAATTAGCCTGTCTTTCTCTGTCAGCCAACGGAGATAAATATTGAGTAAAAATACTAATAAATTATCATGTTACTGGTGTTCAATTTCTAATACATGTCCAACAAGTACAAAAACTTACGCTTACATGAGGATCCCATAATATAGATCCATACTCAAGCACTGAGCTAACAAAGGCACAATATACTAATTTAATCAGGATAATCAATTTAAACTTGATTGTGTTTCTTCCTACTCTTATAAAGACTATTGGAAAATATGATCATTAATACAACATACATCTGCTAGAGTTTGATCTAATCAACCAAATCTAAATATGTATAATTTAAATTAAAAAATTATAGGATGTAGTAAGAAACAATTATAGACAATTAATCAAATATTTCAATTTTTCAATTTTTCATAGAAAAAACAAAAATTGTTAGTTCTGTTATATTTTATTTTTTTATTGTTTTTGTAGTCGGTGGCAAAGAGAGTGTACGAAGATATTGGCCAAAGTTTTTCCAGGATACAGATATTTTAGTGTTTGTTGTTGATGCCAGCAATAATTCAAATCAATCAGTTGTTGTGAGCGAAATCAAATCATTACTTGGCGATGCCCGTTTGGCTTCTGTTCCCATTTTAGTTCTTGCCAATAAACAAGTAATGTTAATATTTTCATTTGAAATTGTTACTGGTTATTACTAATGATAAATTTCCATATTTCATAAATCAACTTAATTTATGAATTTTATAACAATATTGTTTGAAAAATTGTAAAAATAATAATCATCCAAAAATGTGTGAAATCTTTAATTTAATAAACAAGGTTATTAATAGGGTTCTGAAGTTATAGAAGTTACATATTGTTCTGTATACTCTTGATTTATTGTAGACCAAGCTAGAAATCTAAACTTTACAATGTTGAGTTTAAAAATGCATATTTTGCATATTTGTTAATTTTAGATAAAAAGTGCATATTTAGTCAGTTTTAATTGATTTTTGCATATTTAATATTTTCTAAAAAAATTAATTAATTTTAAATTGTTTGTTTCATATTTCAAAAATAATAAAAATATATTTGTTCAACTATTTTTTCAGTTCAATCAAGTCTCAAAAGCCTAACAATTAGCGTCATATTTTAGTTTTCAATAATGTAATTTTTTTAAATGTACCTAAGTTTTTACATTTTTTTTTTTTTTGTGTATATTAATAAATGAGTAATAAACTTTTAATGAATAAATAAATATTTTTTTTGCATATTTCACATTTTTTAATGCATATTTTGTTGTCTCTTTTGACTCCCATAACTTCCGAACCTTAGTTATTAAATCACATAAAATATGCATGTACAATTTAATCATACCTAATGCTTGATTAGAAACTTATAATAAATTAAATATGTTCTTTTTTTTTGATTTAAATTTTATTGTTATTTATGTTTATTAACTTTTTTATTGCAATATTGAATATATACCATCTGTATTTTTAGGATATGGTTGGAGCACTTAACGCAGAACAGATCTCAAATGTCCTCGATTTGAAAAGCATTCCATCTAGATCACATCAAGTAAAAGTGTTAGAAACTCAAACAAGACCAGAAACAAATGAAATTCATCAAACAGTATTAGAAGTCCGGAAAGAGCTCTTAAAATTAAGTTCCCATATGTAACATGAGAGTATTATTATTATTATTATTTTTTTTTTTTTTTATTAAAACAAAGGTATATATGTGTATAATACAGTATACATATATATTTACTAACTACAGAGTAATATTATTTAAGATAACATATTATCTCAATTAAAATAAATTTATTTTATAGTATTTTCATATTTAAATACTAAAAGTTCTATATTTCTTTTTTAAAACTATCATTTCATTTATTGGGTAACCTGATTTCTTATCCCAAATAAAGATCATATTTTTTATTTAAAACTAAAATACAGAATTATATTCAAAAAAATATTGATGGTTACAAAAAAAAATAGTAAATCTAATAATGAAAGACTTAATGGTTAAGTGTGAAGTAATTATAAACAAAGTTAATATCAAGAAAATACAAAGATTTTTCTTTATGATTAAATATAATAACTGTTCATTAAATTCGGCGATTATATTTATAACTTAATGCATCATATAATTTAATGAGTGTCAATTAGAAAATTTAATTTTGAAATATGAAAAATTTAGAACTTGAAGCATATAAAAATGTATATAAAAAAAAACAATGTTTATTTAGTGAAATATGTGGTATCATGTTAAAAATCAACTTGTGTATACTTTTTTTTAACAAATAATTTTAAAATATTCCAAATAAATTGTTTTATTTAATTAAGTTAAGATTATAGACAACTAAAAATTAAATTATAAATCAGCTATTGGCTTAGGCATTAAATGCTCATAAGCCTTTATGCTTTTAAATGTTAAAATTTTTGCTCGTATTTGTTTCCATGTCATTTGGTAAACATTTTTTGGATCCTTTGTCATCTCCTGTAATGTATAATATTCAATATTTATAAATGCAACTTAATAGAAGCAGAGTTTAAAATTTTAATTTTAATATTTATTGTTTAATGCAAAGGTTGTTTAACTCTTATCACAATGTTATATTTATACATATAGATGGTATAGCAGAGAATGTTTTATTTGCATAATTGAAAATTATAAATTTTGGTACAGAGATCAGTATTAAATTTAAAATGTTTTTTGATGTTATGAATTAGAATAATATATTTTCAATAAATCATTCACTTAAAATAATACAACAAAGAAAAGTTTAGAAATGCATTTTTTTTTATCGATATTAATATTGAATTGTATTGATAAACTATTTTAACAGTAATTAAAAGTAAAAAACAAGTGTCAGGGCAAGACATTAAGGTGAAAAAATTGAGCAAGTGGGTATCGCTCTGCTGTATAGTAGAGATGGAGAGTAGGTCATTATAAAAGATGTGTTAAATTTAAATGCAATGACAGGTATCATTGAATATAAAAAACAATTCTGAACGAAGACGATTTGTCAGTCTAGGATATGTTATATTACCTATATTTAAGTTATAATATATTTTTATACGCTCACACAAAATATTTTCTATATTGACTGGAGTTTTTTTTTACAGCTATTTGAAGAAAAAGTTATAGAGAACCTTATCTTGGATTTCCTTAGGTATAAATCACAACAATTTTATGAATTTCATAATTCCATGCAAATTTTCACAATTTTGACATATTTCATTAACATTTGAACTTTAAATGCTTATAAAAAAAACTGTACTAACGATTTTTTTTTTTTTTCACTATGATAAGTACAACTTATGATGAACCTTGTTTTAAATTTTAAAGATTTTTGGAGAGCCAAATTTTTTTATAGGCATTTAAAAAATAGAAAATTTAATCGTAATTAGATAACGCTAATATAAGGATTTGTTGAAAGTTTCAAGTATTTACAATGATTCGTTTTTGAGTGACAGCGAAATAAAAAAATTGATTTCTTCAAAAACTGATTATGCATAAAAATTCCCGTATTTTCATTACTTTTTTAGGGTTTTTCCAGACGTTTTTGAAAACTACTGGAAATTTTCAGAAGGGCTGAAGTCAAAAATCGAAGCATTATTTCTACTCCAAAACGAGATGACAGACAAAAAAAAACACATCATTATAAAATCAATACATTCCTCATTTCATCCAAAATCTAATACATTCAGTAACTAGTTTACCTTATAATTATCTCCATATTTCTCCATAAGACCAGTGATGAACTTAATTGTGCCAGGAGGCAATGTTATCTGCTTTATTCCTGTAGGTTTATTAGCTTCCTCTTCCAACATTTTAACAACTTGTGGTTGCTTTGGCTCTCTTTTAGGCTAAAACAAATAAAAAGATATCCTATTATATTCCATATGATTCACTGACAGTAGATTATTTTTATTATTACATAGTATTAGTCATAATTATATCACTGACCTTTTTATTTTGTTCTTTAATTTTTTCACCTTGAACTTGTGGTTGAGTATTGGTGAAACCAGTTAAAATGGATTTGCTAGGATTATTAGTTAATCCAAAGTTACTTAAGTTCTTAGCAACTGATACTTTGTCATTCCAATGATCTTTTATGAGTGGACTATATTCAAAAATTCCAAATTAATTATTACAAAAATCTTACAGTTTAAATAATAACTACCTAAACAGCTTGTGAAATAAAAGAAAACTATTATAAATTATAGTATTTAATTTTGAGACGAAACTTAAAAGTTTGGGGGGTTGGTTCTAAATTTAAAGCAAGCAATCATTCAAATAATGGAGTACAAATAATCTATTGTATTCAATATAATATGATATAAAACAATAAAAACATTGCTTCGAGTCTTCAGTATAATATAATTTTTTACAGTTATGTTTGTCAGCATATTTCTTCAAAACAGCTACGGTAAAACCATATATTTAAAAATTTTAAAATTAAAACAACTAATTGTTTATAGTTTAAATGCTGAACAGTAATTAATATTATCGCATAGAGTAAATCTTATTATACTAAATTAGTAATCGTTTATCTTTTCAGATAAGTTATGACGATTGACAATATAATGCTCAATTTATAAATATTTTTAGGCGTACAATGAAATTCATATATATTTGAAAATGTAAATTTATGAAATAATACCATATAATATAATTTATGTTGAAGAGTTTATTATATAAAACTTACCACGTAACGTTAGGCGTCTTCTTCATCTTTTTACCCAACTTTTTTTTATTATAGTTCACAGGCATTTTTTATGAAGTTGTAAGTTTACAAAAATACTATGAAAATAATAAAATGTGGACAGTGGTTGATGTTTTCTAAAATATACTAAATAGTAAATAGTAAAAATAATAGTAATTATTACCGTAACGTAATCACGTGGTAGTGGTACACAGATAATTGTGGTCGTCGGTCGAACAATAATAAAGACTATAATCACAAAATAACAATATATATATATCACAGAAACAAGTGTTATTCCGTGATAATAGCACATCGGATCGTGCAACATACTATGTGTCTATGTTAGCCGTTAGGTTATGTTCATAAACAAAATTGTTCATCCTTCGTGTTTTAAATACTTATACTTTACTATAAAAAAAATAGTTATTACTGCTTAATTGGACGGAACTACGAAGCAACGGAGATACAGTAGCTGTCCCTTGTTGTTGGTCTTAAAATATGAGACGATCGTAGTAATATAATATCGTATTTTACGATTAGGTTAGGCAAATACTATAAATGATATAGTATTATAGCATTATTATAGTATTTGGGTTAGGTTATTAATATGATCTAAAGACAGTTGGTATTGGTACGAAATATTGACATGTTTATCGTCAGCGAATTCGAAGAGGTCGTGAAGGTGCAGCCGACTCATTTAGAAGATGATCAAATGTCCCGGATCATCATACATCTCAATTCGATGCTTGCCAACAAAGTGGTAATGGACGTCGGCTTGTGTCTGTCGTTATTTGACATCTTGGAAATAGGTGATTCGATAATATACCCGAGTGAGGGAGCATATTTTTCCAAGGTGCGATTTAGATTCATCGTATTCAGGTGTGTACCGACAATGGTCGTGTGACCTGCATTAGCAAAATTCACATAAAAAATCTAGGAGTAATTATGCCCTATATTTTTTAGTTTGTCTTGAGATCATGAGTTCTCAACCAGTGGTTTTTGAACTCCTCAAAGGTCTGTAGATGATTACTTGGTGGTACTTGGAGATTATTTTTATATATGTTAGGATGTATTTAATTTCATCAGTGTGTATTAAACTACTACGAGTAATAAATTTAAATATTAAATAGGTAGTAATTAATTTTTTTTTTTTTTGAGTGGTTGATAATTATCCTTTGTAGTATTAAGTTAATACTTAACAGAAATCCAAAATTCAGAGAAGCTTAAAAAACCCTGAATTACGCATAGAACAACTTAACTCAGCCCTCAACCCTACAGCCCTACATTCAATAATCGTATTTTATAATTAATTTAGGTATTAGTATAAAATAAGAACGATTAGTTCTTATCTGGTTGATTAAATGAACAAGGGCATAAATTAAGTGGGTAATAAATTTAAATTATAAACTCTGAGACCTCCAAATACCTCCCCAAATTGCACATAGAGTGGTAAGTGACAATTAAATTGATACACACTATTTTTCTTATGTTGTAGACCGTTTGTCGAAGAAATACTCATTGGCAAAGTAAAGAGCTCCTGTTCTGATGGAGCTGTACTAACGACCGGCTTCTTTGAAGACATATTTGTGCCGGCAGCAAACATGCAAAACCCCAGTCGTTTTGACGCCAAAGACAAAGTGTGGGTGTGGGAATATGACAACTGTGGTGATACAGTTGAGTTACACATGGACATTGGCGAGACAGTTAGGTTTCGTGTTGTTTCTGAGCAGTTTGTCGATACTCATCCAGGAGTGGACAGCGGGCTTTTAGACACTGGTGAGATAGCCACTTCAAAATCTAAATCACCATATTCAATTGTTGGAACAATAAGAGAACCTGGTTTAGGAGTAATTGGATGGTGGACTGATTTATAAATTGTTAAATAGGTAATACAAATCATTTGTAAATATAAATTTTAAATTAAATTATATGTAATAAAATCAAACAATAGTTTAATTTTTTTTATCAGTTTTGGATGTGCATCATATATACTTTATCTCATATTGGCTAAAATTTAAAATGATATGCCTCCAGTGGCGCCGAACCTATAACCCAAGAGGGGCAAAAGTATTTCAGGTATGTAGTCATGTATATACATATAAAATACGTTATACTTGTTTGGCTGTTTAAAAACACTTGGTAAATTATAAATTAATACATTTGACTTTATATTTGTTAAGTTAAACTAGTTGTGAACACTCATTAGGAATAATAAAATGAAAATAGATTAAAAATAAGCCTCCCCAAAATATTTGAGCTAGTTACGCACTTGTRCTACTAAATATTGCAGWTAAAAAATTGTAATTTAAAGTTGTTTGAACTATGAATAGTGCTTACTATGTGTGATTGTGGTTGAAAGAGTGGCATCATGAATAATTTAAAAGTATTAGTCTACAAAGTGACTTTAGGTTGTTGAATACTTGCATGGGCAAATCCCCCCACGTTTTTATTTTGTAAACAGGGATGATGGTCCTTTTAACTTTTTACTTGCCCCCCCCCCTTTTAAAATATAGTTCGGCGCCACTGTATGCCTCAAATAAATAATTAATTTAGAACAAACAATGATTTCAATTTAAATAGACTTAATGTTAAGAAGAATCTTGCTGCCTTTTGCTATCTAATTAAATAATAAATGTTTCTACAAAAAAAAGATTCAATAAAAACAAAAATTGTTCTTGATCAAGCAATACCTACTATTGAATCAGATAAACAACCTTTTGCAGGATGATTCCCATTTTTTTAATATTTCAAATAATTAGAATTTCAATTTCAATATTTTATTAAAAATATACTATAATATACATATAATTTATGCATCGATGCCTGTTTGTAACCATTCAATTTAAAATGTATAGATTTGCCGTCAGTCAAGTAGTTGACTATCCACCAGCTGTGTTAAATCTAAAAACTTAAAATGTATGATCTATATGTTTTGTAATATATTTAATCCACAAATCTAATACTATAAATATATAAAAGAAAACTTGTTCATAGAACAATAACTTCTCAGTTAAATCGTTGAAATGTGTTTTACTATATTTTAATTATCTTAAGATAGCATGCTATTGTATTGCCTTACTATACAGAGTGTCACGCGAAGATTTACCCATCGCGATATCTCACAAAATAATGGAGATATTAAAATTCTGGTTTTGTAATAAGACTCGCAGAGATAAGAACCACAACAATAATAAATTATTAGTTATTAAAAAGTTTCCTTTCTCCTGTGGTTTGTAAATTAATGTATACAGTAAAATTATCATTAAAAAATGTATGATAAATATTACAGTATGTTATAACTTATTAATAAGTAATAACTGATCGATATAGGTGGCTGCCAATTCAATGATGTAAGTAATAGGTTAAGTACGAGGTACTATACTAGTTGGATCCCGAATTATTTTAGGTATTCCACTAGTTTCTAAATATTTTTTGGTAAGTACTACACTATACTAACATTTTCATTTCCATTTTAACAGACTGTCTATGGTCTATTTAAACCACAGGTATGGTTAATCTATTTGAAATAATTGATGTAACCTAATGTACTTTTTTAGCTATGTATTTTGTATAAAGTAGGATATTGCATTTTGAACCTTCACTCATCTAAATAAAAAGTCATGAACAAAAATAAATTTAGTATATTTTTATAATATTTCAAAGTTACCTGAAAAGTTACAGTTGACTACTAAAGACTTTGATAAATTTACCTACTTGATACCTACTTAAAAGTTAACATAGTTAAATGCAATCACATATTTTTTAAATCAATTATTTTAATTTTAATATAAAAAATTATGAAGTTAACAATAATATTTTCAATAAAATAATTACCAATAATAGTGGTACTATAAAAAAAAATTAAGTCTACTATAAAGAAATTGGAAAATAAAAAAAACTCAAATCATCATCTCAACATTTTTAAATCAATTACTAATCTGAGAATATACTATGTTTAATATAAAATTTTTATTTTTATTATATTGGGGGTCCACCATTCTTAGTAAGTTATAAAATTAGGCGTAAAGTATTAATAAAATCTGATAGCTCAACTAAATTGTCAATAACTTCCATGATGATTATAACCATGAGGTCTTGGACCACCCTGTTAAATACATAAGTAAAACAAATTATCAGTAGATAAATAAAATAGATTTATAAAATTTAACTTCAAAACACTTACTCTTTGGGTAGTATGATTATATGGTTGATAACGACTATTTTGTTGCGCTCTAATAGGACCTACATTTCCATTAAAAGATTGTCTAGGCCTAAATAACAATACGACAAAAATAATTAATAGTTGGTAATAATAAAAAGAAATTAACAGCTTACTGAGAATTATTGGCTTGATAACCAGCGGTATAATATCCTGGTCTATCATTCCTACGCATAGACTGTTGATCAGATGTATATTGAGTTCCATAGTTTGGATATGCATTGTTGTCTGATCTATAAGAGTTGTTTTGTTGACGACCATAATTGCCTCGGTTTGTATTCTGATCATTTTGAGGAAATTGGTTTTGATTGGCATGCCAATTACTATTTGGACGCCTAGAATTTGGGTAGTCATTTTGCCGAGAATTGTTTCTATAACCTTAAAAAAAAAACCAATAATATCAAGATCCATAAGTCTAACATGGTAAAATAATTAAATTTAATAATAAACAGTAGCAATTACTTTGTGGTGGAGGAACAGAACCATAATTACTTGAATTTGTAGGTACGTTACTTGCATTTCTGGGTACATAATGCCTAAAAACAAAATGTATATAAATATTTTTTTTTTTAAAGTAATTAAAATGTATACATACGATAATGTTCTATGACCTGAAGTTGTTAGCCTTCCGCGTTGATTTGAATGAGTCATACCAATCATAGGCCTCCAAGATCGAGATTGTTCATCAGATAAATGCTTAGGTTTCAACACCCTTGGAGGTTCTCTACATATAAAAAACATTTTAGATTC